CAGTGGAAGTGGACGCCGTTACCTCCAAACATGACATAACATGATGAAATGCTATTCTCAAATAACGTTTTTATCTTTCAATGATATTTTACGTAACAGAGCTCTTTTGATGGTGTTTTTCGATTCTTGCCATCTTTCAATGCTATAGAACCAATTTTCCCATACAAAAATGGTGCGCTCTGCAATTCTAAAAGAAAATGAATATGGGCCACAGTTCCAAAATGTCCATAGTGGCCCAGCTGCAACTACCTTTACCGAGCCAGCCCACCGCCCACGGCCCACTACGTACTCATTTTTCTCCACATCCCTTCCTTCCCTCTGACGCTTCACAGTCACAGCGGCGCGCACCGTCTCGTCTTCCCGGTTTTCCCCGCCCCAAACCCTCCCCAAAACTCAAACGCCACCGCCTCCCGTCCCGTCCGGCCGTCCCCAGCCCACCACGCTTCTCGTTCTCGACCATGTCGGTGTCCGACGGGGACGACGACGAGGCCTTCCTCCTCGCCCTCGACGCCGCGGAGGCCGCCGCGCTGGACTCCTCCAAGCGCCGCCGCCTCTCCACCACCTCGTCCTCATCGACCCCCTCAACCCCACCCGCCACCCCTGAGGGGCCCTACCTGGCCGCGCTCAAGGGCAGCCACAGCTCCACATGGAAACAGCAGATGCAAGGCCTTGGCTATGCCCACAAGCAGCCCCACGGCTCCAAACCCCTAGCCGCGGGTACCGGCGGGGCCCAGGTGGCGAGCGGATCGTGCTTCAAGTGCGGGGACCCCGGGCACTGGGCGCGGGAGTGCCCTCAGTCGGTGCCGAACACGGGGGGAGGAGGTCAGATCGGCGTCGGCGTCGGCGGTGGATATGTGAATGCGGACATGGAGGTGGAGGACAAGGCGTGCCCCTGCGGTGCCGGGACCTGTCTCGTGCTCACTTCCAACACGCTGAAGAACCCCGGTCGCAAGTTCTACAAGTGCCCCATGCGGGTGAGTGTTTTGAATCAGCTGACTACATGGCCCTGATCGCGCAATTACTTGTCGATGCTAATTTGTTTGGTCTGACATGTGCATGTTGTAATGACTTGGATGTACTTGTTGTTTTGTGTGGTCTCTGAAGGATTTTATAGGCCTGTAGCGATTTTTGGGTCCCCTTGCTGGTTGGTCGAAGCAGTCGTGTGCTGTGACTGTGGCATGTTGATTTGCTGTTCTAGTATTAGGACCAGCGATTATTTCCTACACGATCCTAGGACCTGTTTGGTAACTTAGTAATCTTTTTACAGCTGAAATTTGTTACACCTGTAATTCCTTGTGCATTAGGAAACCCTTGTATCCACTTCTGCCTGTAATTTGTTATTTTGCGGCGAGGTAGAAACAAACCTGTGTCTCGCCATAGCAGCTAGTGACTTAAACAGACAGTAAAAGCAAACAACGGTAACCAAAATAGACAGTAAAAGCAAATGACGATGACCAAAGTAGCATCGGGAACAGTGATGTGAAATTGATGTCAGTTTGGGTAAATGATGGGATCCTCAGGAGCTATCAAGATCCCCTATCGATATGGTATTGGAGCTCAGAGTCGGAACATTCATATTGGTGCTCAAAATTTTCACATCAGAACATCGAATTGGATATAATCGAAGAAAATTCAGACATAAGCAAAGAGCTAAACATATCAGAAAGGAGCATGAGAGCCTGAAAATGAGCGGCGGTCTTGGCAGAGAACCTGAATCCCTTGCAGCTCGCTATGAGGAAGGACCAAGCATAGATGGTGGCTGCTCTGCTCTGTTGTTGTGTCACACTTGATAGTGCCATGGTGTTCTCTATAGGTTGGCCATCCCGCTGGCTGCTGAGGTCGCATGGTCCAACATCTCCATCTCCATGGTGGCTAAACTTTTTCACATCTTTCCTGTTCATGTTCTCATGGCTGCGATAGCGTTGGCATCAAGAGGGTTGCGGCAACAGTGAGGAGAAATTTGTCAGCATCAGAGGACGCGGGCAGGAGAGAGTCTCTGGCGCAAGTGACAGACAGGGAGAGGCTGGCAGTAGTGGAGTTCTGGAGGAGGACAGCGGCAGAGAGCCATCGACCTAGTGCTGATGCAGACGATTGCCTGAGGAAGAAGGCGAAGTAAGAGAATGCAGGTCATGAGGGGCTGGCATTTGTCAGAAAAAAAAATGTCGCCAGCGGAGGTGGTTTTTTTAGTTCCAGGTGTTTTTGTCTAAACCGGTGGTAATTTCTATTGGATTACATTCCATCCAAACACCTTTGTACAAGTTCAGATGTAAATTTTATGGGTATGTATTTTACAAGGGTTTTAGCTCCAAAACCGATCTTCCAAATAGCCCCTTAGCTGTGTTTCCTGGTAATGCTACTCGTCCATTTCACAATATTTGTTCAACATGCATACTGAGCAGGCACATTGTTTTTTCAGCATGCATACTGAGTAGTCATAAAATTAAATTATGCAAAATGGGTTTTAATATATTTGTCTTTATTAGATGGAGTAATGCCATGTCTACCTATGTTCTATGTTACTATGCCTCTAGGCTTCATCCTTGACAAATATCATGAAATGAGGTCCTAAATTCATGCTTAGTTTAGTTTTCTCTGGATGCATGTCCTTGGTTTAGGAGCACTCTTTGTACGTTTTCCTCGGGTGGGAGTGTGCACATGAGCTGAAGCTTTACTCGTGCAGTAGTGTAGGATACTTAGATATGGGTTCAGGGGTACATAAGCTTGTTTGTGTGTTGTGAGTGATGGCACATGATGTGTAGAACACTTTTGATATGTTGTACTAGCACTTGAAAGTGAATATCTTACGCTGTGTTAATTTTATAACTTATATTCTTATTGCTTAATCAGCTTGTTAGTCTTATTTAGATGGCCTCATCTTTTCGGTTGCTTAGTTTTATTGATTACTATGTTATTGCTTGCCAGCTTATTGACAAATTGTGTATATTTGTAATTTGTATTGTTGGAATGGTATTCTCAGATGTCTGTTATCTTAGAATCAATGTCTCCACCTTTATAATCGCTGACATCCTGTCATCTTAAAAGCACCTACCAAATCAGCTTGGGTTTCCAATCATTAACCAGTCATTTTTTCTTTGATCACAGGGAATTTCTTTTGATGAGTTAGATTATTAGGTTACTGTCTGGCTCTAGAAAAATTGCATCAATACACAAAATAAGTTTTTTGTTTCATTTTACTTTGGTCAAACTTGCATGGGCATCAGATGATCATAATAAGATGTCCTTGCTGACAGTGGCGGATCCAAGACGATCTGGTAGGAGTGTTGGCTACCAAGAGGCAGAGATTCACATACGTATATGCATATAGGATTAGGCATGATGTGTGTGATTGCAGTGTTCCACTGGTGTTCAATTGGTTTCTAACATCTGAAAAGATGTGCCAGCAAAATTCTGTTTTGATCTGTTAGATGATGTATACATGCACATGTGATATTGGAGTTACATATGGCTAATATAAAAAGGACATCTGAATCTTAGGCAAGATGAAAGGCAACTTTCTTCTTGTTTCCATTTATTTTTCCTGTTTTGACTCATTTATGCTGAAATTGCTTTTTGCTGATGCTATTTACTTATTTTCTGACCATAAGGATGGGGGTTGCAACTTCTTTGAGTGGTGCGATGCTCCATCTCCTGCCCCTGCAAATGCACGAAATAACATGGTTGTACACTCAGAGACATCAGCAACAGATATGCTTTGCCCATGCGGTGCTGGAGCTTGCTTAATTCTCACCACGAAGACAGGGAAAAATGTTGGGAGGCAGTTCTTTCGCTGCCCATTAAATCAGGTAAACTCAGGCTTTTCATTAGTTCGCCAATGCTACCTGAATTCATGATATTTTGCCATTACCAGATAGTGGCCTATACTGGTTTGTTGTTCTGGTAGAACTTGGTCCCTTTTATCTGACACAACTTGTTTAATAATAACATTGAACATCTGCAATCCTCCTCCTTCCTGAATTTGAGTAATCAACTAATTGTGAAATTTTTAACTTCTTTAATAATAACATTGCACATCTGCAATCATCCTCCTTCCTGAATTTTAGTTATCAACTAATTGTGAGATTTTTATTGCAGGATGCCACCGTTATCAAATGTATAGATAGAAGTTGCTGTAGTGATTTGGATTGTTTTTTGAAGACATATAGTGATTTGGATTGTAGGCTGGAATTTTGAACTGTTTATCTTGCAGCTGTGACTCATTAGTTGGATCTCTTGTTAATAGATAACAGAAGATGCAGATAGTATGATAGTTACTGTTGCAGAATATATTTATCAATTAGCTTTCAGTAGGCAACATCAGAGATTTGGATTTTCAAAGCACTAACTCAAGGCTCATTTGTCTTCCCCTTTTGCTCTCATGGCTGAACAACTGGTTTACTTTTGGGCTATTCTTAAATGTAGACATCATTGCATAATTATTATTGATGACGGTAAAAATGGCTTGCTTACCGTTAAAGTTACACATGCCATTGCCCTGATAATTGTTGACTTTTGTTTTTGCAACAATTTCCTGTTGGTTGCCTGGTATAATAGTGCATTTCATGTCTTGGTCTTGCTAGTGGTAATGAAAGATATATCCTTATCCTATATTGTTTGTGTTTAAACTACATGGTAATATTGTGAAGAATAACATTGTTTTCTTGTTATGCTTAAAGCTGCCATGTCGTTCGACCAGAACTAGGGATCTTAACAATTTAATTTATTGTCATGTTTGCTTTGCATTCTAAAAATGTCCAGTTGTTGCACTAACTAAATAATACTCGCCACTTTTTAAAAAGAGGTAAAGCAGTGATTCAATCCTAGTTCCTAGATATTGTTCCTTTCTCTTAGTGGAGCACTTAGTTATATCTGTATCTTCATGCATAGCAACTGAACATTTTTTTTTAAATTTTAACTCATGTGATATTCCATGTTCCATCATATCTTTTCCTTTATTAGTTTTATAATGTAGCCACATTTTTTTCCCCTAACTTGGGCATTTCATGTCTCTTTCTGGTGCACGACGGGGACAAATCACCCAGGGTGGTGGCTCTTGTGGCTTTTTCAAGTGGTGTGACGAGCAGCAACAGCCTCGGGTAGGTGCACCACTGCAAGCTTCACCGCAATACCAAGCGGATTCTATGTCAAGCATCCAAAACCCCAGCCAGAGGAGCTCGTCTTCCTGCTTCAAGTGCGGCCAGGAGAACCACTGGGCGAGAGACTGTCCGAATCAATCGTCGGATCCTTATCCTGACAAGGGTGGGAGACCAATAACCTCATCGAGCTCACCTGGTGCGTGCTACAACTGTGGTCGCGCTGGTCACTGGTCCCGCGACTGCCCAACCTCGAATAGTGGTGGTGGTGGTGGTGGTGGTGGTACCGGCACCAGCCGTGCCAAGTCGTCCTCGGCTTTGAGATCGTGGAATAGTCAGAGATACTGATAGCTGGCTCCTGTGAACTCAATTGAACTGACACGGACATGCTGTACGAAACTTGGACAATTGCCCCCACGCCACGTGTTGCTTAGGTGTGTGTTCACGTCGCTGCCTTTTGCTACTCTACGCTATCGCTAGGTAAGAGAGTTAACTGTGGCTGTTCTCTATCTTCACCCTCACCCTGTTTTCTATCTCTGTCGAACTTGGGTCTACTACTGTTTTGTCTACTCTAGGAATTTGCACTTATATCAGTCTAAGGAAAACCATATTGTTCATGCGTTTCCATAAACTTCCATGCTTCTGTTCTGTTCTTAACTTCTTATTTCCTTTTGAAGACTTGGTTTTGGATACTTATGATGATGATATGAAGTACTCCAAGGCATGAGGCATTTTTGAAGTCTATTGCTATGTTCGCTTGGCTTATATGTCGTACTTTTTCAGCCAACGAATAGTATTTTTCTTACAACAAATCAGACAATAGTACTTTCAGCCATGTCTTATCAGCCAAGCGAACAGGGCATATATGCCATGCCCTGGACCTTGTGAGGTCGACCCCGGCCTCTGGCAAGGCCCTAATGAAACAGCCTTTAAAAGTTGTGAACAGTTCAGTTGTGTTGGTGAACTTATTAATACGTGCACCCACTGTACCATTGTTAGCACCCCAACTATTAAAGGTTACGAACAAAGGCTGGGCCTATGACGGGCCCAGGGCAGCGGATGCTATTGCTGCCCGCTCAATGCCACAGAACTACACAAGCACATGGTTTAGCGCTGGCGCGGCAAAGGAATATCTCATCTCTAGGTATTATTCGGGGAGCTTTGTTGGGGGGCAGCAGCAGTAATCGCCTCTGGGCATCGCTGTGGTGGTCTGAGTGGTGGTCCGGTGGTCCTCTCCTGGTGTCGGAGCCAGTTGAACTGCACTGCGGTACGGTTGGTGCCTCGTGCCAATCCTGTTCATTTTTTTTCACTGCGACTGCGAGGCCGATGGAGGCGCGAGGCCTTTGGCCTTTGGCCCTTTGGGACGACTTGGACAGTCTGGGGCCGTGGAGGTACGGGATATCACAGGTCGGTTTCTCGCAGCGATCTTGGGGCCCCCCTGATGGGAGTAGATCTGAGATGCCTCCAGCGCAAACGCCAAACCCGTAAATGGTGCGGATTTGCTGTTCATTCGTATTGCTGTCTATTCCCCGTCTGGTCCGTTCTGGCCGCCCCCGCTTTCAGCACTAGTGATGAACCCCACCCGATAGATAGCTTAGCATGCTTGTTGTTACTAGTAATAGTGTACGGAACTGGCCTGTACTGGTTTGCCGACATGTTTTAGTGCCCACATGAGTACTGTATGTATGTATTATTGTATTTGCCGAGTCTTGCTAACATATGGTTGGCGCTATCCAAGGATTAAATAAAAAATAAAATAAAAGGGGAATGGAAGTTCTGCAGCGTCAGCAAGGGTTTAAATACTAGATAAATTATTACTCCATCTTTACGTGGATGTTAACAGTTGTACTAGCAGAGCCAGCTCCCGTTGTTTTCCTACTCCTAGATGCTGCAAATGCAAGTCTTGAAGGACGTGATTATAGGTAGCGATGTTAAACTCTGCTATGGATGGTTCTTACAGTTAAGCACTGTAGTTAAACTCCCTGGCCACTGCTCTGGTGCGTGCTCGCTGGAACAGGCCCCACGAGCACGTGACGTACGGGATCCACACGACGACGATCGGCCAGCGCACTCGTGTTCCCCCTTCACTTTGGGCTTTGGCATATTGATCTCCGGCCACAGCCGGACCACCGGCGCAGTGCAAGAGCCCAGAGAGTCCAGACTACGGAGCGGTGGCAGTGCAGTGGCAGCCTGCGCCATTAACCGCTAGAAACACCGTCATTTGTCTCTTCCGCTCGCCAGATCCCCAGCAGCAAACTCCGCAAGTTGGAGGGAGCTGCCCCTGCCCCGCCCGGATAATACCCCGTTCGCTTGGATGATAAGTTATAGCTGAAAATACGGGCGATTAATGCCAGGCGCGGCGCGGGTGGATGGACCAGGACGCCGTGGACGGACGGACGCCTCTGGTATTCACGCCGTACCACCACCGAGCAGGACTGCGGCACGAGGATGCATGCAATGCACAAGCACAACTCATCGGTCGCGCGTCCTCTCCCTCTCTGCCGCCGCGGCCGCATTGCGATTGCATCGCATCCAAATCCGAGGACCACCTGAACTCGACCCGGGAGAAACGGCCTTGGATCGCTGGGTGGGGTGGTGGGCGTGGGCGTGTCGTACTCTCGTTCGTCCGCACTCGCCTCACCAACTATCCATCCATCCCAAGAACAAGAAAGATGCCGACGCCGTGGCGTTGCGTACTGTGCTGGCCAGCTTGTTTTGGGCGGGCGGGACGGCAGTGAATGAGTGACGGTCAGTTCGACGGCAGCACCCGGGGGCGCGTTTAGTTCGGCCAACTTTCGAGGTGCAAACTTTGCGATTCCTCGTTTCTTTTCTTTTCTTAGCTAATGCCGCACACAGTGCTGCAGCTCTTTTCCTAGCTAATGCCGCACACAGTGCTGCGCTGCATCTTTCTGCTGTCTGGGCCTCAGCCTTTACTAGTTGCAGTTGGTGTTGCACGTAGTGGTCGGGGCATCCACTGTGCGCGCCCCCGCGTGCGGCCGTGCCTGTGGCACCACCACGCACCACTCCGCTGCTGCGATTCGACGACGATTGATGATTGAAGTAATAGCAATAAACTAATAAAGCAAGGTCTACTTTATTAGTGCCTATAAGTAGTAGATTGTTCGTGTGCGAGGTTTGGGGGAGGCAGCTTTCCATCTTGTCACGCCAAATGGAGGTTAGTCACTAATTACTCCCCCCGGACCGAATATCTTAAATCCAAACCCTTTCTGCTGATTCGTCTGTAGGTCACGTCGCCGGTCTCGTCGCTGCCGCCCTGGCTCTCCCAAGTCCCGACTGGCTTGATGATCCTTTATGCTTTTACTACCTCCTCATCCACACATGATTGGAGCACGCGGCTTCCCTGTATTTTCTCTCTATATATACAAGGGCGTCCCCAACAATAGGCTACGTCGCTAGATTGCGTCCGACGTGGAGCTTAAAACGGAGAGAGAAGACTAGATAGCGAGGAAGTAATACTTAGTCGATTTCACGCAGGCAGAAGAGAGCTGAGAGTGAAAAAAGGACCCAGGCCCCGTTCGATGGTCTGAAACTTGGCTAAAACTGGCTGAAAACACTGTTACGGCTGAAAAAAGAAGCCGAACAAGCCGAATATGAGAAGCCTAACGAGAAAGCTAAATAGCAATATTTTTTTCTTATCTCTCCTCTGGGTCAACGGGTGATTTCATTCTTACTGCTGCGGTCTATGGACGTCCTAAGCGCAAGTTTAATAAAGAGCAACTCTAGTATAGAGTCTCTACTAGAGCCCTCAAATTTATAGACACTCAATCCTCTGTGCGCTTGTGACCCCACCCGTGGCGGGGCGACTCCCTCCTCCGGCAACGCGCGGCTCCCCTGGCGGCGTGACTCCCTCCCCTCCCCTGACAACGTTACTCACTCCCCCTCCCCTGACGGCACGACTCCCTCCCCTCCCTGGCAACGTGACTCACATTCCCCCTCTCCTGACGGCGCAACTCACTCCCTCAGCGAGTCCTAGGTGTTTTGACTAAGAAAGTCAATGACAATCAGGTCCCATATATCATTCTGTGTTACAATGAACTTGATGGCTCTATTTTAAGAGCCACTGTTGGAGTATAACCCATAAAATAGAGCCCTCGAAGGGGGGGGGGGCACTCAAAATAAAAAAGTAGGGGCCTGTTTTGCAAGGGCTAGTGCTAGAGTTGCTCTAACGATCTTATAGTCAAGTTAGTTAGTATTTATTTGGTAACGTGAAGAAAAGAAGGAGAAGAGTGAGAGGCGAGCTCGGGTCTCATAAAAGAAACAAGCCGACCATAAAGTGCTTGTAGTGGTAGGTCTCGATAGCAAGTAGATTTGAGGAGAAATATGAAATAGAATGTTAGTCATGGGTAAAGAGTAATATCATAGCATAATAAAAATTGTAAACAAATAAAAGACAATTGTTGTATAGTTTGGCTCTTACAATTTTACTTATTGCCTAGCACTTGACCTTTTTATTAGGCTGACTCTAAGATCGTCTCCATTTCTCGCGAAAACCCAAAACCAAGGCCTAGAGGCTTGGTCGACTCTTGTTCGTCCTATTTTCTAGTCTCAACTTCAGCAGAACCCCACCCCTCCCAATTAGGGCCCTTAGTTTTTTTTTTATTTCAAGCTTCTCCTACGTTTAGTTGCCCTATTTTCTAGGAACAACTTTAGCTGGAGTGCCAAATGAAGACCCCTATTTTCTATTTACTGTGCTTTCTAATTAGCTCTGTGTGAAGTATGGATTTGAGTCAGCTTAAAATAAACACACGGTGAATTTATATGAATGATCTATATTTAAATCCACGGACTCAAAAACAACATTTCAAATTTTCAAAGACAATTCATCACATCAATCAAACTAGGTGACGCTATGAGCCTAGGGGAGAGCCTCGAGGAATAAGGATTTTGGGTAGATAATTTATGAATCCCTGTTTTTAGGACCTAAATAAAGACCCTGCAGTATTTTTTTTGGGTCTCCAGCACCGATTAAATAGGATGGGAGGCTGAGTAGAAAACTAGTACTCCCTTCGTTCTAAATTATAAGACGTTTTGGTTTTTTAGATACATTATTTTCATTATGCATTTAGACATAGTATATATCTAAATACGTAGCAAAAATTATAAATCTAAAAAAGTTAAAACGTCATATAATTTAGAACGGACCGACTACTACCGTTCATCCGTCGTCCCCTGTCCGCAACAAAAATTACTACCGAGGGAGGCCATAGCGTGATGTGATCAGTTCGCGAATGTATGTGAGCAGGACCACCGGTTGCCGTCGGAGAGCGAAGGCGTATCCTATCATCACCCACTTTGCCGAGCGAACAGAGAGGAACCCAAACAAAAACACACACAATCCGTGACAAATACTACCAGAAAGAAATTCTCTCGCGAGTCGAGTTCGCAGCGGCCGGGTCCCCCCTTCTTCCCGGACGGCAACGTGACAGCGCGACGTATCCATCCAGATCTGCCGCACAGAGAACAGAGGAGGCAGCAGAAAAGCCCCCGGCCGCTGCCGGTTGGACTTTGGAGTCGTAGTTCCAGCCAGGTCAAAAACTTCGTTTACCGGTCTCGGCGTTTTTTTTTTCTCCTTCAGTCCTTCCTCCAGTAGTTGACGAGGCGGCACCGCAGCACAGAGTATTCACTCAGAGAAGACGACGACGACGACGACGACGTGTTTACGCCTAATCCTGGGAGATATAGTACATAATTAGTGTCGGCATTACGGTTTTTGGACTAGATAGACCATGTGTTGTGTCTCTTTCAAGCCTCGCCGTAGTGAGTGGTTTTAGATATTAGAAGGATTGTTTGCTTTCCCATATGGGGTAAGCGGCACATGTTCCGGGCTTTATAATACTCCCCCAGGTTGCACGGAGCAGAGGCTGTTATTGATTGATCTGCATACAGGGCTTCCGTTTTTAGGAAACCATCACAGGTTAGGGTGTCTATTCGTTTGGCTGATAAGCCATGACTAAAAATACTGTTAATTAATTTGTTGTAAAAAAAAACTATTTAATAACTTAAAAAAATATGATTTATAAGCGAACCGAACATACTGATGCCAGGCGCGGCGCGGGTGAATGGACCAGGACGCCGTGGACGGACGGACGCCTGTATTCACGTCTGTATATATTATTGCTTTCCAGGATTTATGCGGTCGCTGCTGGATGCTAGTACTACTGTGGGTCCACAGCTACTTAGCTAGCTGGAGAGGCAGGTTGCTGAACAGCTGACCAGACCGATCAATCTCACAGTTCTCAATTGGTACCAATCTCGCAGTTAAGAGCCACTTTTTAGATAACTGGAATAGACTTTATAGTTACCTAAACATTAAAGTTTAGTCTAGACTATTCAAACTGGTAAACTAAAAAGGTAAATTGAATTTTAGTTTAACCTAAACTAGCTGTTATTCTCTCTCTCTCTAATTAGTCTATATATATCCAAACAATAAAGACTAAACTTTAGTCATTTAATTTTTCATCTAAACTTTAGTTGGACTAATAAATATTCCATGTGAACAAATAGGTCCTAAATCTTCTAGTAGTATTTGGTAATCTGAATTTGTACTTTTAATATTAAATAAAAAGATATTCTTCCAACCGATTTATTGTACTTCTCATAGTGTCCTCACAACCTTCACTATCTTGTACGCGACCTGGATCCGTTGGTCCTATTCTACTGCATTTATTTTTCTCTCAAAATAAATCAGCATAAGTCAAATTTCAGCGAAAAGAACGGGGGCCGACACCGAAAGTTCAAAGAAAATCATGTACTAGTACGTACTCCGTGGATTAACAAGAACTAATCACCATTTGTCTTTTACAGCCGCAGCTGGCTGCTCCTGTTGCTGATGGCGGCCGGCGAGCCTCGTTTTCGCGGCGGGCCCCGCCGCGAGGGCACGAAATAATTGCACGGTACGGACTCGATCTGACCCGAGCTCCTCCCTCCTCCCCCTATGGCGCGGCACCATGTGGCCGGCCCGCCTCCCCTCCCCACCCAATCACCCCGCCGGCACTCCCCGGCGACTGACTCGCGGCCCCCGCCTGCCTGCGACCGCGGAGGAGCGCCCCGTGCGACGACGGGACGCGGCAGACGGAGACCTCCACTCACGCAGCACATATTCCCCGTCTGTTGCGAGTTGCGAGTGAGTGGGCTTGTCGTTTCGTGGATACCCTTTCAATATTCTTTTTTATTTTTAAAAATAAAATAAAAAAATGACCCCCACCATTTTCCTCCTCCACTCGTGTGTGAATTCTCAGCTTTATGTGTTCATCATAGTGTAGTCGTACTTCATCAGCCTGTTCGCTGGGTCGTAAACGATCGTAAATTTTCAGCCAGAAACAGTGTTTTTCTCTCACACCAAACCAGCCAGCAGTAAATAATCCACGATGCGATATGGCCTCCCGGCTGCGTGTCTCTCCATTGCTACACTAGTTTCTACTGGTACTAGTACTAGTACCCATAGCCAGCATGCTCCTCTCGTAGCAGTACTAGGCAGTACTCCTAGGCTACTCAGCGCTACTGTTTGCAGATAAAAAATTGCACTAGTAGCAGTACCTGAAGCTCCAAACAAAGAAATGATGCGCTGTTGGCCTCCGCCTGGCCTAGTCCGCGTTTCCATATATAGAAAAACCACAGCTCTCTAGATCACCACCCGAGCAGAGCAGACCACACCAGACCTCACCTCTCAACTCTCATCAGCTCATCACCTCTCTCGTGTCGCCGTGCAACGGCCCCCTCTCTCTCAGACAGGCGTTTCCTTTCATTTCCTCCTACTACAAATATCCAGATGGACGACTCCCCGTCTCAGGCAGCGCCGGCGGCCGACCTGTCGCTGACGCTGGCGCCGGCGCCTCCCGCGCCCCCTCCGGCGGGTCCCGGGGGCGGTGGCGTGGCGACGGCGTGCGTGGACGGCAAGGACGTGCGCCTGTTCCCGTGCCTCTTCTGCAACAAAAAGTTCCTCAAGTCGCAGGCGCTCGGGGGCCACCAGAACGCGCACAAGAAGGAGCGGAGCATCGGCTGGAACCCCTACTTCTACATGACCCCGCAGTCCACCAATGCGGCGCCGCCGAGCCCCACCGCCCCGACCGCCTACGCCGGCGTCGGCGTCGGCTACGGCGTCGCGGGCGCGGGCGCGTCTGCGGCGGCGGGCGGCCTCCTCCCCGCGTCGTACGCGGGCCACGTGTACGCGCCCGTGCCGGCGCCGTTCCCCATCGCCTCGCACAGCTCCAGCGGGCTGCAGTACTACGCACCCCACCCCCACGAGGGAACAGCGGCGGTGTCGGCGGGCACGTGGGCGGCGACGACCGCGACGGGCGAGGCCGGCGGCGCGGGCGTCGTGCTGGCCCCGCGCGCGCGCTACGCCACGCACCAGGCGGCCGAGCACCCCGGCGGCGCCGGCCGCGACGACCTGATCGACATGCTCAACTGGAGGAGGGGCTCCCACGGCACCACGGCCTCCGCAGCCGCCACCACCGCGTCGCCGGCCAGCACCACCACCACGCTCACCACCTCCTGGGCCGGCGCCGGCGCCGACGGCGGCGGCAGCAGCAACGATGACGACGGAGAGCTCGACCTCAACCTCAGCCTCTAGCAGTTCCGTCGTCGTCGTCTACCTACGCTACGCCAATGTTATTATTAATCATGTGCCGCCGGCCTATCCGTACGCTACGCGCGTCACTTAATTAGCTCTTAGTAGGCACGTTAATCACTCTCTCTCCTCCCCTCTATGTCATGTTATTAGTACGTCTCGTCATCTATTCTCCCGAGCCTTTTGCCATGGCCTGATGAATTGTTGTTCATCTTCTTCTTTTTTTCCACTTGTTTTTCTTGAGGCTTTTGTTTGTCTGCTTGATCCTCGTTGCGGCCTCCGGTTGTTTGTTGGGGGTTCGCCATTTGCCTCGCGTCCGGTTGTATTGGGACTGCTGTCTGGCTGTCTGCTGCTGGTCCGGCGCGCGGCAGCCATCAGCCCACCAGTGCCAAGAACAACAATGCCCGCGCCGCGCCGCGGCGTCGCTGTTGAGCTCCTGCTCGCCATGGGCATGTCAATGTTACGCCACGTTTTTTGTGCCGGTGCGGTCCGTTCCGTTGCATCTACCGTTGTACCTACTCTGCTTGTACCACTTGATGGATCTGTCCACGCATTAGGGGCTGTTTGTTCCACGGACTAAATTTTAGTCATGGTCACATCGATATTGAACACTAAATTAGAGTATTAAATATAGACTAATTACAAAACTAACCGTATAAATTGAGATTAATTTACGAGACGAATCTATTAAGCCTAATTAGTCCATGATTTGACAATGTGGTACTACAGTAAATATATACTAATGATGGATTAATTAAGCTTAATAGATTCATCTCATAAATTAGTTTCTGTCTGTGTAATTAGTTTTATAATTAACTTATGTTTAGTCTTTTTAGCATCTAAACGTCCGACGTTACCGGAACTAAACTTCGGTCTCTGCCCAACACCCCCTACTTGTCGCCGTCCGGCGGCCGGCACGGGCGGGGGCGGCGAAGTGGGAATGGCCGGGAGGCCGGGAAGGGGTGAGATCCGTCTCGCTGTCGCTGTGCATGCTGGCCGGACGGGGGGCACGCCCAATCAATTTACTGATGCTATTGGGTGGGGGTGCTGAGGGTACATGTACTGTGTACAGAAAGCAGCGATATTTGTTCGGTCCGCGTCCCATCTTGCTGGATCGTGTTTAAGAACTGGATGCAGAATCCTACTGGACTCAATATTTTTATTAAATATATAGTTGCGTTCTTAGTATTTTTTGTTGTGTACGGAGTACTGTACGTATTATATGTATATATCTTGTACTGTACTGTAGTACTCCCTCTGTCCCAATATATATTTGTCGTTTTGGGACTAAGCGACATTACCAAGGAAGTGAACCAATGACCTGCATGGCCCTATGGATGTAATCATTGAGTGGATGCATGAACTGCTTATGCTACCTGTGTATACAAACGGCCACGCTTGCACGGAACATTTATCATTAAACTAATGAACTGTGGAGGGGGCAAAGACTGGTGCACCTGGCTAGGCACTGGGACTAGTACGATGCTACTTTGGGAGCAGAGAACGACAATCTTTCAGGGACAAAATTTGAACTCCTAGACGACTGATATTCTGGGACGGAGGCAGTATATGCCAATATAGTAAAACAGTAATAAAAAAATGTAAATGCAGCACGTACTATTGATGGCGCCACGCAGAAGTAGCAAGTTCTAGGATTCGTTGCTGTCCGTGTCTGCAGGAGTAGGACGGGGGACGACGGCCAACTTGCATCAGTTCCATTTTCCCAAAAAAAAAAATACTACTCATTAGAACTTGCATCAGTTCGTCACGAGCCCAAGGGACAAAACCCGGTGCCGTCCAATGGCGCCGGAGCCCGGTGGGTGGACTCTGGTTGCCACCTGCGCGCGCTGGGCCCCACCTGCGCGAGCATGGTCCCATAGTACGAACAGGAGTCGCGGCAGCGACATGGGCATGGGCAGTGCCGGCCGCAGCGCTCGGGAGCCGTCGGATCGGATCCTCTGCGGCCCGATCGATCGCAACCGGTCCCGCCGAGACACCGATTGAGCGCGGCGCGACAGAAACACAACTGCTGTACCTGTAAACATGGGCAGTGCCGGCAGGGCAGGGCGCTGGAGGGAGTCGACGGCTGGCCGTTCTTGCCGCCGGCGTTCCACTTCCACGGCCGGCGGCCCGGCCGGCCAGTTTGTCCCTGTCGCGCCGCGCATCAACCGCGCTCAGGTCAAAAGCACAAGCGGTAGCGGCTCTCCACCTCCTCTAGTCCTCGGCACGTCCGGTCCGTACGCGCGTGGCTAGCTGACTGACGGACCGACTTGCCGGAACCAGCATGTGGTTTGTGGTGTTTCTGCCGTATCGATCCACACACGACGAACACCAGGCCGGGCAGCGGCGGAAAAGAGGCGGATGCGGCTCTCGGCGCCATGGCTGTGCATGGTGACGGCGCGGCGCGGCGCACCCGCGTGCGACCGACGGACGGCGACGTACTGGCCTGCCAGTGCCCGGGAGAGACCCAACAGGAGATGGATTGGTGCTACTGCTATGGCTCGCCCACCGTACTCCTTGAGCGACCGGAGTTGGCGTGGTACGGGCGGGGACAGCGTGGCCGGGGGACGGGGACGGGGAACGGACACGGCCATGTGAGCGTGGCGGGCCTGCCGTCAGCGACGGACAGGGAGAGGCCGCCCGGGGCTACCGTCAGAGCTCGTGACGCCGGTGCCACTGCCGCTGCCCACCTGCCCGTGCCCGTGCCCGTGCCCGAGCCCGAGACGAGAGTGGTTGGCGGGCGCTGCCGCTGCGTGCTGACGAGCCCGGCCGCGGCCGGATGGGGGCCTTTGCTTGGTCCCGGCACTGCAGCGCCCTTGTACCCATGCGCAGCTCAGCGGTTTGTGGTTCTGTTCGGGCAGTGCAGCACTGCAGCGCCTGTCTCGTTCGTCTCGTTGCTCGCCGCTCGTTCGTGATTCTCTGTGGCAACGCACTCCCTCCGTGCCCCTCGTGTGCTTCTTCTTCTGCCTGTCGTGTAGCGGCTCCAAGAGAACCACGAGTGAGTGTGAGATCGATCTCTCTATCTTTTCGTACGGGTTCCCTTTTTTTAATATAATAATGCAAGGAACCATTTGCTGACCACCGCTATGGAGATTACAATTGAAACACTACCAGCTCAATCACTCCACCTTCTTGAACATAATCTGAATCAAATAACCTGACACCTATATATTATTCAAAGATAATGACACACATAAATTTAAGTGCAATAGAATAGAATCATAAGAAGAACAAGAATTTAAGAAAAAACATTGGAATTTCAAACTTAAAACCGAATATGCTCCATCACAAGAAGAAATTAAAGAAACTTTACACCAAGTTAAAAATTTAAGTAAATGCTGATAAGAAAACTTCACGTCCCGGGGAACTCACCCAAGAGCACACGCATACTGCACAACACATGAACAGAGCACACACGAGAGCCTAACTCTAAGCACTACAACAGCAACAACTGCTGGCCGAGAACTATATATAATTAACATTAGACTTACATCTCTCTTTTCCTTTTCCACAAAAGAGAAAGCACGCAAGCATTCTGAATTTTGGACAGATTTTTTCGATGTTGAAAATTAAAATTCTACAAAGAACATGTACATTTTAGCACTCATGTAATTAACTTTATTTGCTATCTTCTTAATTGGAAGGCAGGGCTCCTGCCCTTGCATTCAAAAAAACATGCAAATCAATTCTTTTCTTGATCAAGATCCCAGTTTGAGCACTGCACATTAACGTACCAGAATGAAAAAATAAGCACAAAAGTTCTAAATTGTACAATTTGGCTAAATTTCTTATTCATTTTAGTTCACCTTTTTACAGCAAGCAAGCACAACTATGAGTAGTAGCGGTTCCTCCCCCCACATCTTTATCTGTATAGAGTGAGGGAGGTGCAACAATCAGGCTCCCAAACAAATTGAACATCAGGTACAACGAGGAAGGCGGGGATCACAAATCAGATAGCCTCATCACTAGATACTATATCTGTAACATCAAATTCAATGAGCTATAACTCACAAGCACATCTATTTGAGATACTTCCAGATCATCAATCTGTTCGCTTGTTGGTTTCAGCCAGCCCAAACCAGCCAGCCAATAGTATTTTCCTCTCACAGAAAACCAGCACCAGCACCAACAGCGAACAGGCCCCATGAGAAGTACAATATTTAATTTTTAGAAGAAAAAAACTCTCAGGTTGCTATATATCTAGCTTCCTGCAAGAATAACTCGAGCTTCAGACAATCATGTGCTAATTCAGAAGCTTGTTTCTCAGAGTACCGTAAAATTCTCACAAGGGGTAGTACTAGTAAGCTAGCTAGCAGACAATCGTGTACTAATAAGCTATCTAGCCAACCATGCATATTCATACAAGCAACTTCAAAATGCAATCTATTTAGCTTCCTGCAAGCCATAAATATTATAGATTGAATAATTATACAGAGCAGATAATTACACATGGATTTAAAAAGGCTACCTGACCTAGGTGCAGTGTAGTTTATCTTCATGCAGATCTAACAAGACATAATTGAAGATGACGAGGGCTCAATTGAGGCTTGAGTATAGAAATAGAGATATAAAGAGGAATGCTAGAAACTAGTATGAGGCTATACACAAGTAGTACAGGGTAAAACCAAAAATGCGTCATCAATGACATTATTGCGGGAGGAGCCGAGCTCAATTTGGCATGACTGCAGCTTAAGCAAATAGTGTGCATCAATTGGGATTTATAAGCAAGCAAACCGTGGTGGCACTGACATAGACACAAACACACAAAGAGAAACGCGATCGCCAGAGAGTTGCCCCGCCGCTTGAAAACAGAAAATCTGATTTCAGATATACCAACAAGGATGCCTGTTCCTGGGTTCTATTGGTAGCCCAAACACAAAGAAACAGAAATGCCAAAAGTAGTGTATATGTCGTCCATCTGTCCTACCAAAAACAGCAAGCAGAGTCTGCTGCTGCTGCTGCATCTCATTGGGTTGGAGTTGCAGAAGAGGAGGAGAGTTCAA